GACAGAGTCTTACTCTTCCACTCAGGCTAGAGTGCTGTGGTATCAGCCTAGCTCAGAAACCTCAGACTCCTGGGTTCAAGGTATCTTCTGCCTCAGCCTGCCAAGTAGCTGGGACTACTGGCGCCCACCACAATCGTTGGCTAATTTTTCTTTTTTTAGTAGAGACTGAGTCTTGCTCTTAATCAGGCTGGTCTGGAACTTTCGAGCTCAAGGGATCTTTCCACATTGGCCTCCCAGAGTGCTAGGATTACAGGTGTGAGCCACCTCCTATGTCCATTAGTTGAGATTAAACTGACTTGTGAACCCTGAAGGAGGAGCTTTACTCTGATCATCACAGAGAAATTGTCTTCCTTTCCTCATCTGACTCGGCGGAGCTTTACCTTTGGGTTTATTTACAGGTCATCAACATCACGGGTGTTTCCGTGGGGTTCGGCTTATCTTCTGCTTGTGACACCCTCATCTCTCAGGTAAATGGAAGAGATCACACTCTCACAGGGATCCTGGGTATCTCTCGAGTGTAGATGGAAGGATGCCACTGGCAAGAGGGGGAGTCATTGCACAGAGGAGGAAATCCACGCCAGCAAGCCTCATTCCGCCTCACTTCCACTGCTCCCGGCTGCTGGTGTGGCTGTCTGATACTATACTTTACCAAACAGGGGACATTTTGCAAAAGTCCTTTCTGTCACCCAATGCATGTTGGAGTCTGGTATTGTCCTGTGGTTCTCACACTTGAGAATGGCCTGGAGGACTTGGTAGCTCTCCCCAGGTTGCCGAGCCCCACCCAGTTGCATGCTAGTGATTACTCACCAACTAGGTCTCCAGGGAAGGGCAGAGGAAACCCCTGACTGGCAGTGTTCGCCAGTTCCAGGGTGTAAGCATTCCCTCTGTGGTTAATGTGAAGCTACCGAGGAGAATGTCACTGAGCCCACAGCTGTGCACAATGCACAGTTTGGCTTTTGTAAGCCAGTGGGAGGGGGCTCCAGCACACCGCTGTCCCTCCATTGGTTTTAGATGACAAGCTCTACATGCCAATTTTTACATTTGTTCCAACACTTTAAGCCTGTTAATTTAGAAAGAGCTGAGAAGGCAAAAGGCAGTTTTCATTAATTTCTGCTTTACTAAGTCTGGAGTGTGTTGAAAGAATTTGGTTTTTTTGTTTGTTTGTTTTTTTGCAGTTTTTGGCCGGGGCTGGGTTTGAACCCGCCACCTCCGGTATATGGGGCTGGCATCCTACTCCTCTGAGCCACAGGCACTGCACCAGAATTTGCATTTCTAACAAGTTTCCAGGTTATACAACCCTGACTGCACATTGGAGTCACACCAGGAGCTTTTAAAAATTCTTAATATCTGGGCTCCGTGCCTGTAGCTCAAGCAGCTAAGGCGCCAGCCACATACACCAGAGCTGGCGGGTTTGAATCCTGCCAAACAACAATGACAACTACAACCAAAAAAATAGCCAGGTGTTATGGCAGGCACCTGTAGTCCCAGCTACTTGGGAGGCTGAGGCAAGAGAATCACTTAAGCCCAGGAGTTGGAGGTTGCTGTGAGCTGTGATGTCACAGCAGTCTACCCAGGGCAACAGCTTGAGGCTCTGTCTCCAAAAAAAATTAAAAATAAAAAAATAATAATATCTGATAGGCCAGGTGAGGTGGCTCACACCTGTAATCTTAGCACTCTGGGAGAAGGATTGCTTGAGTCTCGGATTTGGAGACCAGCCTGAGCAAGAGCAGGACCCTGTTGGGTGTTATGGTGGGCTCCTATAGTCCCAGCTACTTCAGAGGCTGAGGCAAAAGGATTTCTTGAGCCTAAGGGTTTGAGGTTGCTGTGAGCTATGATGCTACAGCACTCTACTAAGAGCAACAATAACAACAAAAAATTAATGTCTGAGTTCCACCTTGGAACAATTAAATCCAGGAAATCTTTAGTGGTACTGTGTCATCAGAGTCTTAAAAATGTTCCCCCAGGTGACTCGAACGGGGGAATCCGTTTGGGAATCCGTCATCTTTTTCACTATCTAAAGACTGGGGTAAAAATCTTTATGAGGCATGACTGAAGGCTTTGGGGGGACAGTGACGGTTCCACATCTATGCTGATGGGTTTGTCTTGGCTTGTGCACCCCAGACGTACGGTAGCCAGAACCTGAAGTATGTGGGGGTCATCCTGCAGAGGAGCGTGCTCATCCTGCTCCTCTGCTGCCTGCCCTGCTGGGCGCTCTTCCTCAACACCCAGCACATCCTGCTGCTCTTCCGGCAGGACCCTGACGTGTCCAGGTAAGATGGGGCCCGTCGGGACTGGTTGTCCATTCCCCCAGAAAGACCGTCCATCCAGGTTCAGCCTCTGGGAGCTACAAAGGCCGAGGACTGCACACCAACTGGGCTTATGCTTTCTTCAGCAGGTGTCCCCAGGGTTTAGTACTTTACCCTTAGTACTTTCCACACCAGGGCTTAGTACTCTCCACACCTGAGTTCTAGCTCCCTCCTTTCCTGTGGAACTCCTAGGGTTAAGGATTTTAAGTGCAATTACATTTACAAACCTCCTCCTTTCAGGATGGTGTAATAGTTTGTGGTATTTGTTCATAGTTCAGTTATTCTTGAACTTGGTTGATAATAAAACCACCTGGGTGCTTTTCATTTTTTTTTTTTTT